GGGGGTGGACTGGACGGGGAACAAGAGGACAGGGTCGGGGAACAAGAGGACAGGGTCGGGGAACAAGAGGACAGGGTCGGGGAACAAGAGGACGGGCTTACCAAAGGGGTTGGAGGAGGTGACGTTGGCTGGGATGCTCATAATTTAAAATGCGAGTAGTCGGTCCGGCTGCGATCGCCGCCGCAGGCACCGCGGTGCTCCCGAGTCTATTGCTGGACCGGATCCAGTTGGAGCAGCGGGGCCGCGAGGACCTCTGGACCTTCACCAGTGTTTCGGCCGCGGGTCTCGCGGACCTCTGCGCCGCGGAAGCCATGGAACGGTTCGAGTGCCGGATCACACAAGGCGGCGATTCGCCCGCCCACAACTTCTGTTACGCCGTCGTCGACCTGAGCCACCAGTAACATACACCCCCTCCTGACACCCGCCCTGCAGACATCCGCGAAAGTGTGTGCACACGTGTGTGCACACACTTTTGGACACACCCGCTGACCTCGAGTTTGGAGTAGAACTGCGTCTGCGGCTTCAGTGCTGGGCCGGTCATGGGCCTGCGTGGTCTCGCTAGCGGACCTGATGCTAGGAGGCAGCTTCCAGGCTCTGGAAACGTACAACGTCGCCGCCCTGGACCGCGGCAGAGTCGAGCCGAGCGCCGAATCGAGAGCCGAGCCGAGTCAGCGAGTGTTGTTATACGGCTGGCTGGAGGACGAGCGAGTGTGCCATAACAACCTGCACACGTGGCACATGACCAATGAGTGTCGACGTTTTGCGGGCGTGCAGTCGCTTCTCACACCGGCCACAATCAACGCCAGCTTGAGTCGCAGTTTAGGCATCAAGTGGTTCAGCCGTAAAGGTCTCGCTGATGCGCTCGACTTGGACCTGCCTAGTTTGTACGACTGGACCTGTCCTGAAGACCCGCTTATGCAGTCTGTGCCGGAGGATGATGCGCCGGTGACCATTAATGACTCCAGTGAGAACGTGAATTCTGTGACCGGAGACCCGAATACGTCGTCCGGAGACCCGAATAGGTCGACTGGAGGCCCGACGGCCACTGGGAGCGAAGATCCGACTGGGAGCGAAGACCCGAATTCTGCGAAGACCGGGAGTGACTTTCTCAGCAAACTCAAGTTTTTTTCCACGGATGTGCCCGAGATGAATGATATCACTCTACCCCTGCTGATCAAGGAGGCGGTGGTCGCAGTCACTCCTGGCACTTTTCCATTCGGCACGAATGTGGAGGTGTGTGCGAAGCACACACATCTTCTAATTGATGACGACGTGTTCAGCCTGAACCAGGAAATATCCCGACCGCTCCAGGCTCTACTGGCGGGGGGTCGGGCCGTGGGCAGACCAAAGGCCTCGCCGCGGGTTTTAAGGGAGGAGATAATTCCCGTGAACATGAACCCGGAAACAGCGGGAAGTTTGAGATTCAATCTGATAGGGTTGAAGGCTTGGGCCTCTACGCCTGATGCACTAGACAGTCAGTCCTCTGACCTCAACCCGGTGTCGTTCAACAACACTGCATGGGTTGGCCCCGGAGGGACTGAGACTCACTCTACTAGCTTCCCCACTGGCCTGGCGACCTACCGACTTTTACAGACGCTGCCCCCCGGTTACCGGGTTTCAGCGTCGCCAACATGTGCTGGGGGTATCAAAATTACCAGGACGGAATATCGAGAGGACCGAACCACTCAAAGGACCACCGTAGACGTAGAATTTCAGACCACCCAGGAGTACAAAGACAAATCATCTTTAAGGTAACAAACAGACTAACACAAACCGACCCACGGAGCGATTCGACCCACTAAGCGATTCAAATTAAACAAGTTTATTGCAGTGTCAATTACATAAAAGAGTTTAGCTGGTGGCGCCAATACACTACATCAAGCGAAGCAGGGTGGGTTATGGACAATGTATTACTTATCGAAAACTCTAATCGGATTTACTCAGGCGCGAATACGGTGATGTCCAAGTTCACACTCATTGATATAAGTAGATGCCCCACCTTACCTTCCGTAGGTAGATGCCCCCTTCCGCACCTCAATACGTCTCGAACAACATTACCTTCTTCCGTAGCGTCATTCTTCAACGGGGTTGCCTTTGCTCTTTTTGGTCTCATGCTAGCCTACAGTCGGATGGTAAGGTCGTCTATGATTCCCTTCGTGGAACCCGACGACCATGACGGCGCCCTTGACCGACCGGGCGGTGGCAGCTGGAGCGGCCGACCGGTTGCTGCTGAGTCAGCGAATAGTTCTGTTGCTGAATAGTTCTGCCAATAGTTCTGCCAAATAGTTCTGCTGCTGAGTAGTTCTATTGTTGAATAGCTCCGACTACCCAATAGTTCTGAATGGATAAGATAGTCCTGACTGATGAGGGCGGTCGCGGAGAGCCCCAAGGCACTGACTGCTCTATCTGAGCTTCTTGTTTGCTTGCTTGCTTGCTTGCTTGCTTAAGCCAGCACCATGACAAGAGTCAGTCAGCTGGTCTGACAGAGTCAGTCAGGTGGTCTGGCGGAGTCAGTCAGGTGGTCTGGCGGAGTCAGTCAGGTGGTCTGACAGAGTCAGTCAGGTGGTCTGACAGAGTCAGTCAGGTGGTCTGACAGAGTCAGTCAGGTGGTCTGTGTGGGACGCATTTTCGCGTCGTTTTGAGAGCCGCTAAAAAGTCGTTTGCCACTTGGCCCTGCGACTGGCGACGGGGTAGGGCAGCTGGAGGGGCGTCTTGCCGCGGTGGCTGTTGCTTCCGGAGGTGGGAGGCGGCGGCGGGTGACTAGGCCGGAATCGTTCGCTTGCGGGCGGCCCGGACCCGGGTGGGCCATGGGTCCCAGACCCGGCCGAGCCGTGAGCCCCGGATCCAGATCCCGAAGCGCGAGCCCCGGACCCGGACCCGTGAGCTCTAGATTCGTGGAGCCCGGAGTCGTGCCCAGTGGTCGAGCCGTGAAGTCCGGATGCCGAGTTTCCATGAGTGGGGAGGAAGGGGAGGGCTGGAGACTTGAGTGCATGCTGAAGGGCGGCTACGTAGGCGGCGATGCTGGCGGAGAGGCCACAGATGACGAGTTCGTGCCGTTCTTCATCGAGCCAGAGAGAGTGGATGCCGGAGGTGCCTTTATGGTCTCGAACGAGTTGAAGCACGCGAGGTAGTGTGTGTCCGAGACTCAGGGTCCAGTATACGTAGTCGAGTTCGTCCGCAGCTGCACGAACCTGTTGTGACGAACCGCCATAAATGCGGACTCGTCTCACGCCGTCCTCGTCCGGATAAACCCGGACCTCCACATGATGACTCCGTGCCACTCGCGACAAGTTCTCGCCCTGCTTACCCATCACCACACCCACCACCGACTCGTGAACCAACAACTCCACTGACGCCTCGCTCATCCCCCGATCCTCTAACATCTTCCAACGTCGCTGCCGACGCTCCAACGCCTTTTCGCTACTCAACGCCTCCGCCCCCGCCTTCTCCACCTCATCCGCCAACTCGCCTGCGCATCTACAACACAGTAATCACACGTAATCACCGCGGTACACACGTGATATGCAGGCACACACACGCGTGTGTCTTCGTGTGCGCACACGTCTGCCAGGGCGCACTCGTGTCCCACAACAGTCTTACTCTAACAAGCATTGCTTGTCGGCTAGTACCTTGAGAGATCCGTCTGAAACCGAGGCCTGAACAGCACGGGCCATTGGTGTTGGAATTCAGAGTCTGGCGGTCAGGGCAGATTCTGGCGACAGGCCAGAGTCTGGAGGTCGGGGGTGCGTACATAGACGACATCGATATCAGTTTTGTCTTTGATATGTCTCATGAGCCAGACATCTGCTTCGTTCCGTTGTGCGTCCCAAAGACGGGAGAGTTCTAGCGGCAGTTGGACAGTGAGCTCCGCCGGGCGAATGACGCTGGTGAAGTAGTCTTTGACGGTCGTGTTATGGACAGACCGACGTCGTTCAGTGGTATCCGGGTGCCAGCTCAGGTCCGCTAGGTCGAACCGGTGGTCCCGCGCCGTGGGTTGACAGAATTTTTCACCTTGTCCGTAATCGCCCTGTCCGCGCCCAATGTTCAGAGGCAGGTTTGCCCGCGGCAGATGCAACCGCGCCCCTGCCTTGTCGGTTGGCTTGTCCGTCGCCTTGTCGGTCGTCGGATCCTCGACGCCAAAGGTTGCGTCCTGGTCGCTGAGTGACCGGCAGACGAGTGCGGTCACTGTGGCGGACGCGATCGTCACCCCGTCTTGTACGCTGGCCGCCGCAGAAACCTCGTAGACTAGCCCCGTGACAGCGTACTGGTCGCCATGGTTCGTTACAGACCACCACTTCATCCCAAAAATTATGTGGGCCAACACCTCCCACCGGCCACTGAGCCTCTCCGAACGCATCTACCTCGCCGAGGTCCTCGCTGACGTACGGATCCGGTGTGTCAAGCCCGTACCCGCCATAATTGGCCCCCTCTTTGGCCAGGTCGGCCCCTTCGAGATCAACGAAGAAACCGCTCTACCCCTCTTCATCGCAGATCTACTGAGCGCCGAACACTACTGCAAGATATTGGCCCCCATCTGGCTAACCTCCCACGGACTCAAGCAGTGGATCGTGGAGGAGCAAAAACACTCCAACGACCTCCTACCGCCGCCGCACAACCTTTACATAGAAATCGCCAATAAACTGCTTTACCAGTACGTGTCCCAACCCTCAACTCCCTGGCCCGAATCCCGCCGCACCCCTGACGACAGCGAAGACCTGCTGTCCTTAATGTTCCAGTGCAGGTGCGAAAACGTAATGTGGCCGGACGAAGACGAGAAATTACGTGTAATCAAGACCTTCGACCACTTACTCGTGATTCGGCGACGCAAAATTCGAGAGAGTAAACGACCCTCCTGGTCCTTCCCCC